AAGGCAGTTGTTACTTCACTGAGAGACACATCAACCTTCCCATAAAGTAGAGTAGTTTCAAGATACTCAAACTCATCAGGAAGTGATCCCATCAACATTAGAGCCAAATTTTCGTCTTCAAAAGTCACGTCCATATTCATCAGATCAGTCACCATCTGATTAAAGCTAGTAATGTGATCATTCATAGTGGTACCTGGTAATAGTTGAAGCAGAACAATCTCTTTTTCATGTAGAGCTTGTTCTGACCGCTTTTCTTCAAAAATTTCTCCTCCGGTGCCTTCCACAATTTACTTGCAGAAGTTTTCTTAGAAAATGCATACTTCTGCTCTCTAGAAAGACACGATCGAATAGTACCACATGTCAATCTATTGATCCTCTTCCATTCTTTCTCCTCAACATCATCCGGTTCCTCTCCTTCAATAGCAATGTTTAGACCCTGCTGAAATAGGGCATCTAGAACCTCACTTTGCCACATGCCGAAATGACTGGTTCTATAAAAAATCTCCACTGCAAATCTAACATTTGTCACAGTATTTCTTGCCAAAATTGAAGATGAAGAAGTTGTTGATGACGATTTGGATACTTTTTGTGTCGTTTGCCATTTCTGCTACAAATTCTATTTAATAGCTGTCAATGCGGAATGTTAATTAGCAAAAGGAAATTTTTTTCTGATGTGGAAAATCAGCCTAAGCCGCAACCACAGAGCATACTAAAATAAACCAAGAGCTCTTATGCTAATTGTTGTGGAAGACGGGTTAATTTCCACCGATAATAATAATTTCACCTTGAAAACTATATCTAGGTGACTAGTGTGAAAGTAATTAATAGGACAATAATTAACAACAACTATACCTGATAATAGCTATTAAATAGACATAAAAGAGAACACCAAAATTTAACGATGTTAGGCCAAAATTATGCCTACGTCCTCGAACACTACTAAAATAATATTTCACTAATAGAGGAAATATTACAAAGAGAGAGAAAGAGTACAAATAGCCTTTAATATAGAAGAAAACTTATATTTGTGAGATGCTAAACTAAGGAGGAGGAGGGCTCTATTTATAACAAAAGAATTTCCCCTCCTCCTTATACAAAACCAATGTGGGATTCAAAATTTGCAAAAAAAAAAAACAACAGTAAACACTTATAAACTTCAAAAATCGACATCGAAGCACTAGGGACACACATTTTTGTTAACGTTATCCATTCATGAATCTATTACTGCACTCGTAGCAGGTATTACAAAGAGAGAGAAAGATACAATAGCCTAATATAGAAGAAAACTATTTGTGAGATGCTAAACTAAGGGGAGGAGGGCTCTATTTATAACAAAAGAATTTCCCCTCCTCCTTATACAAAACCAATGTGGGATTCAAAATTTGCAAAAAAAAAAAACACAGTAAACACTTATAAACTTCAAAAATCGACATCGAAGCACTAGGGACACACATTTTTGTTAACGTTATCCATTCATGAATCTATTACTGCACTCGTAGCAGGTTGCTGCAATAGAAGAGCTAAACATAAATTCAAGCTTCGGATGATATTCTTATACTCAATGGGACTAAAATAGGTAGATTTCATGATTTCATATATACACTCGACATAAATCAAACCTTCAACAGGATTTGCCAAAAATCAATTTGGTGGAGCCTTCATGCTTCTTCCAAAGTTGTATCAATTAAGAAATTAATATTAATAATACCCCTTGGTGAATCCAATAACTTGTTTAGCTCCAACAAATGGTGAAAAAGATATCAACTCTATGAGGAAACGTCGCCTCCGCTACTGCTATTTTCATTCACATTCAAAAATTCCTAAAAAAAAACTAAATCCCTAAATTGTAAATACCAGAAAAACTTATGGTTCATGTCGGAGCTAAATTTCTTCTCTTCACTAGCTTCGTGACAAGCTCTTGACTCGTTCTGGTGTTCTAACCGAACGAAGCATTTCCTTATCCAACCAGTTTCGATGAGCCGAGCTAACTTGACGCAGTGTTGACCGCCAGTGACTTGAAACTCGCCGTTTTGGGTCCAGAACCCGGCGAGAAAAAATTCAAAAAAAAAACTTTATTCTTCCTTTAAAGAAAGCTTTTCCAGACCACCTTGATCACTCGTTCCAACAACAATCGCAACAAGTGGTGAAAGAAGAAAAATATATTAAAAATGGGTAAATTAGAACTGTGTCCCTAAATTACTTTAAATTTATAAAATGATCCCTAAATAGTCTTTTATCTAAAGTTCAAGGGTTAAAGTAAAAAATTAAACCCTTTTACTAATGCACCACATCATCAAACTAATGGAAATTAACATTTCAGTGATCACATCTTAATTAAAATAAAACGAAAGTCACTATGTATTATGTTTTTTGAATCTAGTGACCATAAATTTATAAAACTCAAATAAAAGTGATCAAATATGTAGTTTACCCTTAAAAGAATGATTACGATTTGGGATATAAACCGGAAAATGGATAAATGATGGCAAAGCTGATTTCAACCCAAACATTGAGAGCAGATACAGCCATGAACTGTGGACCACATACAAGTTTAACCAAGCCAAATGTGTCGTATGATTTCGGTAACAGGATTAATTACAAGATAACCAGAAAAACTAAATTGCAAATAAAGAAGAAGAGGCGAGGAATCTGCCTCAATGTCGCGAAATAATTTGGCTTGCAGCCTTTCCGTGACCTCAATTATTTGCACGGTTCGTATTTGTTACCTTTATTTTAGGGTTTAGCCCCTGCTTTACAATAATCAAGTTGAAATTTTATTATGAATTTCTGATATATATACACATGCTAGTATAAATTTAAGTATAGATCACATCATATTAGGCGAATGTTTTATTTTGAATCAAAAATATATTATTGAATTATAAATTTATATAACTGTAACATTAAATGTCAAATTTAATTATATTAAATCATTGTTAAATGTAAACAACCAAACAGGGAATTATATAACTGTAACATTAAATGTCAAATTTAATTATATAACTGTAACAATATATTAATGTTAACGATAGTTTTCGTCAATATAATAATTAGGTAAAGACATTGATTTGATATTTAAAATAATATTGTTTTTAATTAATAAATTATTTAATTTGTGTTTTAATTTTGTCACTAATATTTTAAAATATTTCAATTTTAGGCATTATTATTTTTTTATCGATCAATTGTCACCCATCATTAGTCATCATTTGTGACAATATCAATATGAAGACGTTCATATTTCATTCTATTTTCTTTCTTAGTGGACTGATTTTTCACGAAACTTACTCAAAACTGACAATAAAAATTCTTCTAAAGATTTAACGTGCTAATATTTTGATATCCTCCGATGATGATAATTTTTTTTAATTAATCATTGGTATCCGATCTATTGTCCAACTAATCTATATCGGGTACTGCAGAGGCGAGGGCAACCCTCCCAACTCAGTTTGCTCTTTTTTTAATTAATCATTGTTATCCGATCTATTGTTCGACTAATCCTGATCGGATACTGCAGAGGTGAAGACGACCCTCCCAGCCCAATTTATTCCATTCGCAAACGTCAGGGTTCAAACCTCTGATATTGCTTAAGAAATCTAATGTCTCGTTCCACTAGACCAGTTGATTGTTGGTAAGATGATGATAATTTTAATGCATGTTGTTCGCCTTCTTAAAATAATACTTATCAACATTTAGATTACTGAATAAACATTTCAAACATCTCAAATTTAAAAAAGTTCCCAAGTCCAATTTTATTTTATCTTATAGTTTTTGTTTAATTGTAAGAGTTTTAAATATATTTTGAAAAAATCTAAATAAAGACAGTGATATAAGATAATAAGACGAATTTTAAGTATTTAGTGTGATCGTAAAAGGTGTCACGGAGTGTCAATTTATGTGACGACTAAAAATGGAAGAAGAAAATATAATTTTGATGAAGATTATTATAAGATGAAATAGAACATTATTATTTTTGAACTTCCACGTTAACACATATTAATACCATGTCACCATAAAAATATCAATTCATTTGATAGTTACAAAATTAAATGATATAATTATATGTAAAATTAAAATTTGATGTTACAATTATATTCATTTATAGCTTAATAATATTTTCAATACAAAAATAGAAATCTTAGTAATAAATGATATAATTCATCTTCTAAATAAAACCTCTAAATATTCAAAACCAAAATTAACTACAACTTTCAACTAAATTACATGTGAACCTAAATTTTAAAAAACTAGATAAAGTTTACACATAATAAAATTTAAATATATCTAAACTCAAAATAAAATTATATTTACGAGTAAACTTTAAATCAAATTTAATTATATTAAATTAAAGTCTTATGAAATAATAATCAATTGATTTAATGAAAATTTTTATAGTATTCGACCATAGTTAATTAATCAGTAAATCAAATATTTATGATTATATGAGTATGAAGAAATTCAAGGCGAGGATTAATATTTTTATTGTCAAAGTTTAAAGAATGTCATAATAAGATTGGACAATACAATAAATTTTGGAATTCTCTTATATAAATCAATGCATTTTCCTATTTCTTTTATTTTTCTTGTTCATATTCTTATTCATGATATTGAAATTAGGATTTAGAAAAATCTTATTTAAATATCTTAAATTATGTTTTTAAAATAAATTACTGATCAATGATAATCTAACGCGATTTAATAGTAACATTTCAGTATTTAAATGTATTAGATTATTTTTAAAACGATAATATTAGTGATATTTTATTACTTTTAAAATTTTAACATAAAAAATTTACAAATATTTTTATGATAACTTATATAATTTATTCTTTTAAAAAGATAATAGTGAATGGTTTAGAAAAAAACCGTGGGACCAAAAACGATTTAGAGATTCGAAATAATATTTCCTTAATTAAATCGCAGGGCATTGGATATAAATTTAAATTTTATTTATAAATAATTATTATTTTGGCCAGATATTTAGAAGGCAATTAAATGAATAGGACTTGGGAGAGACGTGAAGCAACGATATTATCCATGGAAGAAACGAGAAAAACAGAGCTACCATTTCCTCCCGATCCAAACAATCCGCAACAAAGAAAACACAAAATCAGCCAGTGAAGAAATCTGATCCCGAAAAGATGTCTGGACAAGCAGCGTTTCCAGGCCATATCACTGAAGAAATCTTACTCGAGATCTTCAACAGACTTCCAGCCAAATCCCTGGGGAAATGCATGTGCGTTTCCAAAGCCTGGAATTTTCTCATCAAGAACCCATTTTTCATTTCCAGCCATGCCCGCCATCACTCAAAGCTTCGTTGCAGGAATAACAACAAAAATCTCTTCTTTGTCATGACTGCCCGCCATCAAGTGGAATACTCGTTGCACTTCGATGACCAAGATTTCAGTAAGTACACCCAGTTAGAATACATGCCATTTGATAACCATCACTTTGTTGTTGGTTCTTGCAATGGGTTGCTCTGTTTGATAGACTTTCAGTTTGGTTTCGATATCGTCTTCACCCTCTGCAACCCAATTATTAAAAAGTCCATTACGCTCCCAAAACCATGTTTGCGTCACTTGCCATATAAAATTTCCGTTGGGTTTGGATTTGATTCTGTGAAAAATGACTATAAACTTCTGAAAATCACCAAGGAAAATGTATTGGACAAATTTGTTGAGGTTGAGCTTTACTCGTTCAACAGGAATTCTTGGCGAACTTTAGCTCCGCTAAGATATGGTCTTTATTCTGATGATTTCATGGTTTTTGTGAATGGAATTGTTCATTGGATTGCTTATGAAAGAGTGGAAGATCAAGGGGTTTATAGGTGTAAGTTTTTAATTATGGGGTTTGATATGAAGGATGATGTTTTCAAAGAGATTATGTTGCCTGGGAATTTGAGGAATTTGCCCAACCAGTCAGAGATATACGTAATTCCATATGAAGAATTATCATCAATTGCTGTTATTGAGTTGGGGTGTTTACATACTCAGTGTAATATATGGGTGATGAAGAAATATGGTGTTGTAGAAACTTGGACTAAGATGTTCAGTATTGGGAATCCAGGCCCTGAGCCAATGCCAAGGGTTCTGGGGTTTGTGAAAAATGGGGATTTGATATTGGGAGCTTATAATAATCTGCAACTGGTTTCCCTTGATCCTGAGAGAAGTGAGCTTGGTTATTTTGGAATTCAAGGAACACGCTCTTATGTTTCTACTTTCATGGAGTGCCTAGTGTTGCTTGATCAAGTAAATGGAGATGATATGACTGAGAATGATGTAAAGTCTGCGAGTAACGCTAAGCATTCGATTGAAAGTGCAGCTGATGGTTTTACCAAACTTGCTACCAATGGTGAAACAACCAATGATTCGAGTGATGTCGAAGGATGGAGAAGCAATGAACTCTTTTGAGTATGGGAGAAGGATTACGGCTTAGAACAATGCTGTCTTGTTCATTATCTTGTACATGTGACCCTGTAATCTCAGAGCATTTTACTGAATTTCATTTCAGCATTCCTGGTTATACAGGTATTTGTCTGACATGCTCTATTTTGATTCAATTTTATTTATTTTCCAATGTACAATTTCAGGAAAATGAAGAATCAAGCCTGTGTGTATTGAGGTGCTGAAGCATAAAGAAGACGTTGATTATTGTACATGGATATCTTTATTCAATTATGTTGAGTACTAAAATGATGAGACATATCTTGATGTTTGTTATATGCTTGAAACTACAAATGGGATGATCATTATTGTTTCCTCAGCCTCTCTCTTTTTCTGATTTCAACATTTTTGTTGTTATTGTTGGTTTCTGAGTACACGAACACGTCACCTTTAATAGATATGAAAGAATTGCGAACTCAAACTTGAATAGGCTTGACTAACAATCAGGAATATTCAATGCTAATCACCTTAAATATCTTATATTGCAACATCCAACAAAAAGTTACACACCAAACATATAGTTTTACCTATATCAAGGAACTCTAGAAGGCCCATTTCTCTTAAGATCGCCGATGACCTCTTCCGCCACGGCCACGGCCTCGGCCTCGATGATAAGGTTTTCTTCCACGACTAGATGGTGCACCCATGTTGAAGTTCTGGGATGATTCAAAGTTGCCTTGAACACCATTGGGTTGCAAATTACAGTTCCCATCTACTGTAGGTCCATTTGTTATAATACCTTGTAATGCACTAAGGAGTTGTTGGGCCTGCATACCCGTTCCAAATGGGCTTTGGTTAAAGCCATTTTGACCGGCAATCTCGAGCCAAGGTGCAGAGACCGATCTAGCAAATAAGCTTGACTGGCCACTAGGTAAGACGACCATATTAGGTAGTGTACTCAAACTCGGGTCAAATTGCTGCTGCTGATATAGCATCATGTTTGGCATAGATATTGCAGGGTTTGGCAAAGGAATAGGCCGCTGTGGATGATTCTGTGAGAGCATTGACATCCCTTCTGCAGAAAACATGTTCGGAAAATTTGTATTCTGTGGATGCTGGCCTGGCATTCCATTATTCCAAACTCCATTTGAAGGTGCAACAATACCAGAAGACGATGGCATGACAGAAAACGGTGGGATAAAGCCGGATCCGCCAACAAAATTCTGTTGTCCCACGACAGACGATGAAGAATTATGATTGACCAAAGATCCCGAGACTCTGGAGATATTATGTTGACCCCGATTAGGTGGAAGTTGACCCATTGCTGTTGTTGAAGTTTGCTGGGCTGAGTTCCTATTGGTTTTCCAAGCTCCATTCTTACTTCTAACTTTCTTCTTATTGCTTTTCTGGTTTCCCACTCTCTGGTCATTCATACTTCTCTTTGTCATTTTTTGCATCCTCTTGTACTCTGCCTCTTTTTCATCATCCGAAAATTCAGGATCATCCGACAACTCCTCATCATTCTCACCAGATGCATCATATCCTTTCTTGTGAAGATTCTTGTCATTGAGAACATGATTAGCAAATTCGGTAACAAAAGAGATAGAAATGCCTTCATGGATTCCAGCAGGGACATCACTCTCGGAATTATACCGTACTATATAGTATGGGTTTTTTACAGGTCCAAAGATTTCATCCACAAATCCAAGTGGAGATCTGTTCATGGTTATCCAAAGAACCGAACCTTCGTTCAGAGGGTTGTGCCGATCTCTTCCTTCAACAATAACTTTGGTACCAACCATCTGTATCAGTTAAAGGAACAAAATTAGACTTAACTCTGCAGAAAAAAGTGGCCAAGCTCTGAAACATAAAGAAATTTGAATAAACTTTAAGGTTTGGCCTTTGTAGTTTGCACTTTGCAATAGACGCTCCAGCTTGAGCTTACCGACAAAATAACTCCAACAGACAGCATTTGGTGATGGGGTTGTAGTTCAACATCCAGTGGTGGAACTGGGGGGAGAACCTGCCAAATTTAATAGCGTTTACTCGGAATATTTTTTTCAAAACTAACTCAGGCATCATGCCTTGCCGAAATTTTAACTTCAGTGATAGCTATTTTGGTCATATGGTTCAGAACTACAGAGAGCATGCAAGAGAAGTCAAGGGATAGGTTTCCATGGCCCAGAACAGAGTGCACTGAAAAGCCTGATCTCTGGCAAGCAAGAATCACAATGCAATAAAGTTCAACGTTTTGACGGAATATATATCTCTCATTTTTGATGACTTAAACTCCAAAATTAACCAAATAAGGCTCCAATTGTAGACAAGATTAACGTAAGATTACAACGTGAAGGTATATGAATGCACAGATTCGCTTTGAGACAGCCTCGAGTAATTTGAGTGGATATGACATTGTTTCATTACAAACTTAAATCTTCCATCTTACAGAGCCAAAATCAATGACTTTCACATACTAAAGCTTCACTTGGAAATATTAGACACCATGCAGAAACACGAGACAATCATACAAACATGATACAAATACACAAATATCTAAAAATCAAGAAAACAATTACTACTAAAAGATCAAAATTTATATAAAGATAACATACATAATCAAAAACTACAATTTGTTACCTCAGCTTCATTCTTAGATCTGATGGGACCTTTTGAAGCACCAGCATCCTCATCATCATGATCAACTTCCTCAAGTTCAATATCTAACGCACTAAGGATTTCGTCTGTTTCCTCCTCCTCCTCCTCTTCATCATCATCGGTTCCATCAACGGCCACCTCTTCATCACTATCTAGAATCTCACCTTCTTCAAGTTCATCTACACCATCCACCATTTTAGCCTCCATCTTCACCTTTTCTTCTTCATCCTCTTCGTCGTCGTCGTCGTCATCACTGCTACTACTCGAAGATGACGACGAAGAGCTTTCGCTGTTGGACTCTGAACTACTACTCCCACTCTCTAATCCATCATCCAAACTGACCTTCTCAATCACTTCCTCAATAGGTAAAGTCGGATTCCCTTCTGGTTTAAACTCCTCTTCTTCCACCTCCACTGTACAGCCTGATTCACCTCGCACCGGCTCAGACCCACAAACAGTTGGCTTGAACACATAAAAATCTTCTGGCTTTGACTCCTCAATAGAGAAACCCAACTCCACTTCTGGTTTTGACTCGTCTTCTTCTACCTTCACTGTACGGCCTGACTCACCAGCAACAGGCGCATACCCATCAACAATTGGCTTGAACCCATCAAAATCTGGCTCAGACCCATTAACGCCAAGGCCGCTAACATGGGTTTTCTCAAAGTTAGCTTCTTTACCAATCTCCATAATGCTCTCAATATCTTCAAATTCACTCTCTTCTAACTTAATCCCATCTAAATTTGGGTAACCATCAAACCACTCATTTAAATTGCCGCTGAGCATTAAATTAAAATTTAGAAGAAAATAAACCCAAATCCTTGATTTTTCGGCTTTTTGAATGGAAAACAGGTAAACCCAAGACTGACTTTTCTTTTTTGGTTCAAGAAACCCAAGAATGATACGGAGGAGGAAAGAAAGTAAGAGCGGGTGCTAGGGTTTACTTTAGGGTTTAGGAGACAATATATTTCCAAAACGGCGTCGTTATATGATATAGTAGATTTAAAAATATAAAAATATAAAAATAAAAACGATGGGAAGAGGCGAATATAGAAATTATTTTATTCTTATATCACCATTTTAAAAAATAAATTTTATAATTAATTATTTATCAAGATAACATTTTTTTATTAAAACTTATAAAAAGAATCGTAAAATATATGTTTAGAATCCTAACTATCACTTTTGTTCTGTTATAATTATTTAACTATTTTTTATAAATCATACTTAATGTTATATTTTGATTTTATTTTAGTGACATACTGTTAAAAAAATCAATAGAACAATTAACATGATATTTTTTATTTTTTTAATGATGACATGATATTACTTCATGGTGAAACATCAGTGTCACTATTAATTTTCTAACAAATTATTAAAATGAAATCAAAACAAAACATTAAATATGATTTTAAAAAATAATTAAATCACTAAAACAAAATAAAAGTGATAACCGATATACTAAACATATAATTTACGTTAAAAAGAACGAAGGTTGGAGTAATGTGGCAATATGGTATGCATCAGGGACGGATGGTGATGGCAGCATTGGATTCTTCAAAATTTTAAGAAATTTCTATTAAGATTATAAGTTATAAAATATTCAGTTTGACCCTATATTTTTTTAAGTTATCATTAAACCCATAAAACTTTTTACAATTCTTTATTAGGCTTACAGAATAAAATTTAAACATGATAAAAAAAAAAGGAAAATTGATTATCTTATAAGATTATGAGAAGTGAAACAAGATACAAAAGTAAAAATTTCAGGATATAAATACAAAGATTAAATTACATTACTTGATAGTATAGGTTAATAAATCATGTCACTGTTGATCCAAACCAAATAAAACAAGAGGAAGAAGTTTCCACAGTCTCAGAAGCAAATGTCTGGACAACAGTAACAACACACGCCCCTACAACTGCATAAAACCAAAAATAAATAAATCCAGTTTATATATCGTAATGAATCTGAAACAAAGAGTAATCACAATCCACTCCAAAATCCAGCGCCTCTGTTCTCGGATTTCCCCGCAGCGTGAGTGGTCGGATAATCTGCTACGCAATTAGGATTTGGTGGTGTTGGGATTATATGAGTATCTGCTATCATCCCAATGAAGACGGACACAATATTTAATGTTAAGAGACAAATTTATAAAATTTTGAGAATAAAAATAGATTATCAATAAAAAATATAGGAAAGTTCAAAAATTTTAGGACCATCTACTCTCCCTCAATTCAGCCATGTTGTCAATTCAATACACAATTTAAGAAAAATGATAATTGAACAAAGAAGAAGCTTACCTTTAGTATGGTTTTGATCATATGGAACCATGTCGGAACTTGGCCTGGATTGATCTTGATTCATAGTTGAAAACAAAGGAAAGAGATGAAGTAAAGATCCCTAGATAACTATCACATGAACTTAAACAAAGGGTCAAGGGGTTAATATAAAGATGCGAGTAAGTGGAGTAGTTATAAATTTACCATGGTATTTACTTTACTCACAATTGAGTTTCTCACTTGCTCTGTATTCTCATCATGTATAACTGCTCAAACAAAGACAGATTTGGTGTTCTTTATATTATCATCTCTGACCTATCGGTGTTTGTTCAAAAAGAAACTCTCGATGACTTTGTGTTCTTTAACTTTCTTACGTTAAAAGTGTCCAATCAGAATCGATTGAACTGAGAAATCGAAGATATATGTTCGGTCTAATGCTTTTGTTTGTTTATGATTTTACCACCTACTTTTGTCTTGTAACGATCTGTTTTTTGTTCATCCGCCTTCTTATCCTTTCATCTCGTTGATAGAACGTAGGTTCAAATTGTTTATTTCATCGGAATTGATGGTATGATTAGGGGTATTGTAAATGAACAAAATATTCAAAAAGTTGTTCGTGAAATGTTCGTATAATGTTCGTTTATGTTTATATGTTAAGCTAAATAAATGAGTATGAACAAAATTTTTATGTTTATTTAATAAACAAATGAATAAGAACATATGTGTGTTCGATTCGTTTATGTTAATGAACAAACTCATTTATTGACTCAAATCATTTAACAAAATCATGTATCTGCTCCGCTGCTAAATACAGTCTAAATTGGCTATCAGCGCCTTTGCATTTTTGTGTACTCTGTTAGACTGAAATCTGATGCATAGTAATGCTCCATGAGTGGAAAGAATATCATGTCCTCTCTGGTGCAGGTACATAAACCGAATTAGGTAGGTTATTCTTCATTCAATTTTCAAATGTCGCAAATTCTTTCTTGGTCAAATTGGCTGCAAATTCAGGGATCCATTGGTCCATTATGTAGGTATGGTGGTTTTTGGTTATGGTTGAATGTCATACACATTCCCAGGTACACTAAAACTTAGATATGTTGTATAGAGTAAGGTTTTCATCTTTGGGGCCAATATATATGTTTCTTCACATATCTATATGTTGTATCAATTTTTGTGTTCATGATCATGAACTGTGGTCATCCTATCCGATTGTATATATGTGTTATTGGATTATATACACTCAAATAAAGTAGTTGAATTGAAAGCAACTTTTGGAAACATTGCAATCAATCCATAACACAAATATTATACAAGCCAGGAACTGTATATAGGTCAAATTACAATGACAACCTTGAATTTTGTCCCACTAAAAACAAATCATAAACATTTTAAAACTTGCTGGCAAATAAAAGCCCTTCTTTTTTAAGTTGATCCAAGTTCTCAACTGGGCATTTGAGTCTTGAAACTTTAGCAAGAGCCTTGTTTTCTTCAGGAGTCCCACCTTCAAGGAAAGCTCCAACAACCTTTCCATCTTTGATCCAGTAAGATCCAAACTTCGGCTTTGGTGATAATGAATTGTTGTCTCCGAAAAACACGGTTTCACCAACATTGTCTCCATAGAACTGCCACGAAAGTTCGAAGGATCGAGAGTAAAAGTATGGAAGATAATCATACTCTTCAAGTTCTGTACCTGTTTCATTTGCCTTAATAGCCTTCACGGCTTGTTCAGCCGATTTCCGGGCATGGTCGACATGTTCGACTCTCCTTGATTCGTTGTATAGTTTCATGGGGAAAGTGGCTACATCTCCGACTGCATATACACCAGGCACGCTTGTTTTGAAGAATCCATCAGTTTTAATCCCGCCTTTCTCTTCTTCAAGCTGTCCCTTGAATAATGTTGTCAAGGGTCTTGCTCCAACACCAACGACAACAATGTCGGCTTCGACCACCCTGCCATCCTTGAGCTTCACTCCCTTAACTTCTCCATTTACATTAGCATTGAAGCCAATCGCAACAGTTCCTTTGATGATTTTGATCCCTTTATTTTCATAGTAACTTTCATAGAATGCAGCAATTGTAGGGGTGAAAAGCCTAGGCATGCACCAGGGCTCAGGGTAAACCATCGTAACATGGAAATCGTTGATTCTCATAGCTGCTGCAACTTCAAGACCAATGTACCCTCCTCCGACAATCACAACCTTTCCATTTTGATTCATTTTAATCGTTTCAACAAGCTTATTGGCATCTTCGAGTTCTCTCAGATAGAAGATGTTCTTGGCATCAGCTCCTTCTACCTTGAAATCTGTCAACCTTATTACAGTGGAACCTGTTGCAATTATCAACCTCTGAAACTTAAAAATTTCTCCAGCCGCACTTATGAGAGTCTTCAAACCAAGATTTACTTTAACAATTTCGGTTCCGAGGATCAATTGAATTCCTTTTTCTTTATACCAATCAGGAGGTAATCTTTCACCTCCACTTCCAACACAGACATAGAATCCAGGCAGTCTTGCAGCTGCCTTTGGATTCAGATTCAGATATCCCTTGCTCAAAGCAGGACGTTCATAAGGTGCCACCGCCTCTTTCGAAATAATCGCCAATTGGCCCGGCTTAAGGCCTTGCCTATTGAACTCCCTAGCTGCATACCCTGCTGCAACTCCGCCACCAATAATTATGTACTTGAATGACTTTAGCATACCAAGAAATGCTTTGCCTTTTCTGAGAAAAGCCTTGAGTTCCACGACCTTTTCCTCAACCGGCTTTCCGAGGAACACCCGCGAAAGAAACTTCTTTTCTCCGGACTTTTGTTCGATGACTTCAGTTTCGTTTTTGATCCTTCGAACGTCATCCAACCAGATTTTCACTTCTTCTGTCTGCATTGTCCCACCATGAATCTCTGCACTTATTCTTAGTTCAGTATCTTCCGTAACAGTATTCAACTCTTTCAACAGTTTTTTCAGAATCTTCACATTTTCATCTAAATTTCTGTTGAAGTTCAAGCATCTTTCAATGGGAGCAAATATTAACTTTGCAGTTCCAATAACTAAGTTGGACAAAGAAGCCATTGACGTGTATCTGATGAAAACCTGAATTGAATAGAAAGCACATCTAATGTTTAGTTTTTTTTTTAAATATTCAAAGTTTAGAACATGTTTCTAAGTTGAACAGATCAGGAAAAAGTATTTAAAACAAATTGACAATGAAAAGACGAGTTACATTCTTATCTGTCTGTATCATGTTTCTGCATTTTTACCATACAATGTTACTCGGATTCAAGTGTGAGTGTCGGATGTAAGTATGTTCATTTCTTTCTAATGGTTTTTCTTAAGATTTTTTTCGTGTACCTAAAAAGGTCATATCTTCATAGCCATGTCTTAATATACATCATACATGGAGACTTCGAGAAAAATTAAATCAGAACAGTATAGAGAAAAAACATAGATTAAAATAGAGTATGGATTGTTCTAGAAGATAAACCAAAAAATAAATTTCCAAGCAATAGTTTAGAAGAATGGCAATTACCTGTTACTTTTTGATAATGTTTCAGATTGTCAGTAGAGAAAAACACCAGGAAAAAAATAGCAAAGATAATAAACTGCACCTGTGAAGAGAGGAGAAGGGTAGAGATTTATGATGATTCCTGCTAAAAACTTTGCTTCTTTTGCAAGAAAAGTCGAGAATGAAGCAAACTAAAAATCATTGAGGCAAAGTATCAGATGCAAGATTCATGAATAAAAGGAAAAGAATTGCAATTACAGAAACCAAAGGATCAATGAAGATGATGCTTGGATTCGGTTGTGAGTTTCGGATGTGTATATTCACTTTTTTTTTATCCCAATATCTACATGTACCTAACCTTAAGAGGTGCCGTCCAGCAAGTTTGGGATTTCATCTGAGCTAACTCGTTGAAGGAAACATAGAAAACAACTAGTAGAACAAACATCTTGTATAACTTGGTAGAATAAAACTTTGTTATTATCTGCAAACATGTGTATATCATACTTGAAAGTGAAACACTGGTTTTTTCTTATGCCTACGCTTGAACAAAGGCATTAGAACATTCACAAACATTGTCATCCATGACTCAGTTCATACAGCATAAAACATGTCTTGTAATTTAAACAAACATGTGTGGATCATACTTGACATTCTTCCATCATTTCAACCTCTAGAAATGGCTACGGATGAATTCCTTCATCCAGTGAACTTGATCCTTCCCTTCGGGTTTCACAGAAGCTTCAACTGTGGTTCGAGACTTCATCTATTCAGCTTGTTCCGCTGCTTGCTCGCGCAGAACATTGACTTCTTTCTCCAGTTTGCTTACTGTGGCTTCCAGTGTGTTCAACTCTTCATCATGTTTCTTGGACTTGTTCTCACTTTTTAACTTCTTATCATCACTACTTATGGACTTTGAGACAATTTTATAAGTTGGATATGCACCTGCAAACATAGTAAAAATGCTAAAATACACATTGTGCAAGACAATATTACTTGGACTCCAGTGTTCGACACGCATACGTTCAATCATTTATCAAGATTCCTTGCATTTGAAAAGTTCTTAAAGGATCATATATTATATCCACAATGAATGATACAGCATATGTAAGTATGTGTTTATGTTGATTACCAGGGATGGATTTAAGGCCCTCAATGGTAGCCTTCTTGGCAACATCAGTAGCTACCCTGGAGATTTTGGATCGGGTTTCGGGATCAGACAAGTGATGGTTCACCTTTTGCAGTGCATCGACCGAGACCTCCTTGCCCTTGGTGATGGCGGCCGAACCATGATGGTTCACCTTTTGAAGTGCATCAGCTGAGACCTCCTTGCTCTTTGTGACCACTGCAGAACCATGCGTGTAAGAGCTCTGCAAAAGGCCCTTCACAGAGTCCATTGACCCAGAGATGAAGTCCCATATACCCATTTTCTAGATGTTTTCCTTTGTCTTTGTGCAGCAATAGGTTGAAGAAGAATAAAGCAGGCAAAAAGGAAGAATGAAGGAAGTTGCCTTTATTATATTCATGGTACGAGACTAGTAGGGTATGTATATACATTATTTGGTCAAACTTGCTGCTAGACCCATCTCCCAATTATTTCATTGCTTATTTTTATATGATTTTCATTTTAATTAGATTTCAAGATAGTTTTTTTTACAAAAAAAATAAATCAAGTGTAGGATCAGATGATTTTGGAGCACATCTCTTTCCAAAATGTTTTAGAACGACCTCTTTTAACCTTATAATTATTTTTATATATTTTATTTAGAATTTCAAAACAATTATACATCTTACTAACATATTTTTAATTATTTAATCTTCTAAAACTTTAATATAATACATATGAAATTTTAAATAATATAAATCTTGAGAGTTTTGGTGTTAAACCTATGATACTTGGACTTGAATGTCGTTGGACTGTTATGTAAGTATATACCTCGAGAAGCTAACAGACTAGCCGATAAGCTAGCTAATCTTGGACGCCACACTAGCTTGGGGCTCACGGTGCTTCAACAATCGCCTCATGATGCTCAAAGTATAATCAACTCTGATCAGTCTGGCTTGAGAGGCTGTAGTAACCACTGCTAGTGCAGTGCTAATCTTTGTAACCAAAAATTAAAAATAAACATATTTATATATAATTGTCTGCATATGTATGGAATAGAAAAACGAAGAATCCAAACAACAGAGATATAAAGAAAGGAATTGCATTCATTAGTGCTCTAAACGTTTCGTTTCCCTGCTTCTTTAAGTGCGTATATTTGGATTGCATTTGCTGCAGTGGTTCTAAAGCATTAAATGGAAGGAAATTGAACTGCAGCTGCTTGCTTTTGCACCAGAAACCAAATCATGGTTTAGGGAATCTGTGTGGAATTCACCGCTTAAGTGAAGGGTTTTTATGTAGTGGTAAACTAAACTTGCTTCAACTTTTTTTTAAAATCGATAAATTATTAATTTAATTTAAATTTTTAGTTCAAATTTCGAATTTAAATTATGATGTGTAAGATTCAAATAATAAAAAATTAAAACGACATTATTTTAATTTTTAACTAAATAATTTTGACATCTTTGAAGATTTAATCTCTAATTTCATCGTTTCTTCAATTTTTTCTCCCTTTTAAATCCATTGTTAATTAAATTTGAATCACAAGTTCCTCAATTAAGATGAAATATCCATGTAACTTTACTTCCTTTTTTTTTTTCCTAATAACAAATTTCTTATTTTTTAAAATCAGTCCTTCAACTTTACCTTTATTCAATTTGATCCTCTAACAACTCTTCGCCAATTCTTTCTTCCCTCAATACTTTGTGATCAATATCCTTTCTTTAGAAAATAACACTATAAATAATATAAATTCGACTAGAAAAACTTTCAAATAATGTTTATATAATAAAATTATACTCGTAAACTCGATTAACTAGAAACTACTCGACTCGATCGAATATTAACACCTATTTTTATAACATAGAAAGATGCCGATATCATTGCAAGGTTAAACCCTTTTCTTAACCCGAGCCCATGTCCAGCCTAAAGAAGAAAATTGCATTTAGAAAAGAGCCTATAATCTTCCCGACTCAACATGGCATGAGAAATCTGAAGTAATTAAGATTTTCCATTCTTTAGTTCGTACTACATGGTATACTGAAAAGCTTGTGATCAGATGATTTACAAGACATATCTGCAAAGCCTTAGACAATAGACTATGAGATACCTTTTACACAGTGCAAGACATTCAGATAGAGGTTTTAGCCCGACAAATCCTTGTTCAACACTTTGACATAATGTTAATCAACCTGCAATATGAACAATTTCAGAGAGTGACATCATTAGCAAAATGCATCTAACATCCACTGGCATGAGAATTAGTTTGCTATAATTCGCTAACCGATGCGGATTAATTGGTAACTTACAAACAAGTTATGATGTATCATGTAATTAGCATTACCCTGTGTGAATTAAACACAGGCTTACAAAAATGTCGCAAGGCAATGCATGATAAGATGTAATGAGAAGTACTGTATGCAGATTAACCCGTAACTTAATCGAATCCCACCCTTAATTCTACATAAGCTTGCACTAATCATCTCAAAACATAAGGAATAAAAACCATCCTTATTGTCACAGAAGATATTGAGTTCAAAAGCTTTACCATTGTGACGACAAGCCATTCATAAAGACATCCCAGAAAAGAGCAAATCCAACTCCTCTTCTTGTGAAGCAGTTCTCTAGCATAAACAAAAAGGCAATAAACCATGAAACCCATCTCTCTTATACAAAAAGCAATTCTTCAACTCAACTTTAGATTTTTTGAGTATCAATACTAAAACCAATAAAGCCACCATATCTTGATTACCTGAATGGACAACAGTTGAAGAATTTTATTAAGAACTCGCATGTGATGTGTAACATAAGAACTGGTCGCAGGAAGCCGGTTCATCCTTTTCATTTCTTCGTGAATCGCCGCAGTCTTCCCTTCGTACCCCATTTGATTCCATTGAGCTCTGGGATTAATAGTCCCAGCCTCACCCATGGTTTGATCATTAACTTGACCAGTTCCCTTAAATTGTTCGAAACTTCCCATGATGAACAAAAACTAAACAAGCCAACCTACACATTAGGGTTTTAAGTCACAGCAAAAACTTACACGATTCTGAACTCGGATTTAACAAGGTGGTTAATTTAAAAAGTTATATAGCCCAATCCCCAGATTGCAGTCTTTGCAAAAGAAGAAAAAAAATCCAATTTCTTAAGAAATCAAGAAAACTACAGAAAAATAATCAGTTAATGTGAAATATATGTTAGTCATTCTTCTGGATCATTCATATAATTGAAAATAATTTCTAAAAAAGGGGGAAACCGAACCAATGAAACAAATTTAAAGTACCCTATTACACAGGTGTTAAAGCATAATTTGCAAACTTTCTTGTAAAACGTAACTCCAAATTCATTTCAAATACTCAACAATTAGTCCTAAATTGGAAGCAAAGTTTAATTAATTTTCATTTGAATATAAAAATATAGTAGAAATTGCAAAAAATGAAGAATAAATAAATAAAACTTTCGAAGAAAAAGAGTAGGAAGAAAGGGGACTTACAGATGTATCTCAAAGAGGCAGCTTTGGCGATGCGGGGAGCGTGATTCCGTGAAATAACTATAGCTGTAAATGGGTTGGGCCGAATTGAAATATGATATTAAAATATTTTCAAGCCCGTTTGAATCAAGTGGAATACATAAGGAAAAATGGAAGATGAATAACCTAAGCTAAGGTTCGGTAGAATATTGTTATTCTTAAAGATTAAGGAGTTTGAATATCAGTGATTGTAAAGGAGATTGAAAGTTTATTATTATATTGTTGAGAGTATTTAGACTTGATATTACTTTGTAATCATTTTTAACTTAATAAAAAATATAAAAAAAAAACCTGTAGTTAATATTTTATTTAAAAAGTTAACTTTTTTATTTACACACCGGTCATCAATTTAATAACATTCAAAGTTTTAATGATTAAAATTTAATAAAATGATGATATAAACTATTCAAAATTATATTTTTTAAACATAATAATTAAAAGTATAAAATAATAAATGATCATTTCGATAGTTTATCCATAAAAAGTTTACTAAATTTAAGGTACGAGGTAACGGTAATATTAAAACTCCGCGGCGCCAAACAAACCGACAACTATTGACACGCGCGTCAACAAATGAAAGAGAAAATATAGGGCCCCAAAAATTCGAAAGCGAAACCCCCCCCCCCTCCCGAAAATTAATAGTAATAAATCAGATATAAAACTAAAGAAGTCAAACCTAACGGAGACTATTTTTCATTTTTTCTAAAATATTTTATTTTCTTCTGAATCGCATAATTCAAAACTGAGAGAACAGAAACCAAAAGAGGGGGGGGGGGAAGCAGGAGAGAAAGAGAGGCCTAGAAAAAGACCTAATTGACCTTATCTTTCTTTCGATATTATCCTTTCTTCTTCGTCTTGCGACCCTTCGTAATCGTCTCTCGCGCCATAGATTTTTTTTTTCTGTTTCATTTTGATTTCTTTACACATGAACGAGAAGGCCCACGTTTCCAGGGAACTCAAAACATCAGAAGGTGATCGTAAGTTTATCCCCCCCCCTTTTTTTGCATTCTTGATTTATGTCTTAATTCCGATTTTTAATCACATTTTCATTTTGTTCCTTGTGTTTTAGCTTCGTACTGATTTGATCTGTGTTTGTCATATCGTTTTTCTTGTTGCTTTGCACCTGATTTCTTTAATTCCTCTGAATTTGTTCGTCATTTGATTTACGTTTCATTTTAAGGGATTTGATTCGAATGGGATTTCGAATGGAGAATACGAGCTGATTTAAGACATTCTTTTATATGTATGAAATGGTGATTACATTCATTGAGATCAATGGAATTTCATCACTAAAAGTTGCATTTTAAATAACATCATATATTTAATGGTTTGCTATTTTGGATATCTAAACTTGAGTTTCCTCAATTAATTAAAATTTTGCCTAATTATGCATTTCCTCTCTAATACCTTTGACAAGTTTGGTGATTATAAATGATTTGTTCGTATATTTAAAACTTTTGAAGGATTGATTTTTGGACCTTAGGAACGGTTTTATGCGATCTTCTTATATGGGAATGAGTCCTATATTTAAGTCGTGGAGGGTGTTAAATTTCTCTATATTCTTTGTATCATATGTATATACGTACACATACATACACATACATTCTCCTGAATTTTCAATTCTTGTGCATATATGTTAACCTATATGGTAATATGGTATGATAGACTTGTTTAATGAGTGATTTTGGTTGTTGCATACTTGGTGACCGGTTAGCCTTTTATCTTATCTGGATTCAAGTTCTTATCTTTTGATCTCATATGTAGATTCTGGAAGGTCTTCTAAAAAGTCCAGAGAATAGGGCATGTGCTGACTGCAAATCCAAGTACGTAAAATGAAAATCACAAAAGAAGATTTGCATATCACTAGCAAATAAGGGAGTACCTAAAATAAAAACTGTCTTAATAAAATGGAGCTTTTGCACATCACAATAGCAACTAAGGGAGTACCTAAAATAAAATCTGTCTTAATAAAGTGGAGTTTTCTGTATAAATTTGGTCATGAGTTGGGGGTGATATCATTCTATTGTCTCATTTCACTGCAGAGGTCCGAGATGGGCTAGTGTGAATTTAGGTGTCTTTATATGCATGCAATGTTCTGGGATCCACAGAAGTCTTGGCGTACACATATCAAAGGTGATTTTCTTGCCTCTTGAGTCAAATTCATATTTCATCTCTTCCCGACTCAAAAAATTTATTGAATTGCTGCCATTGTCTATACTTTCATGCTTCTATCTTGGAAACAAAACCTGTTCCCTTTGGAAATGTATCGGACATATTTTTATTTCTTATGCGTAAGAATGCGAAGGATTAGATTGGTTTGGAATTTACTTTTTAAAGTCACAGATTGTTTGACTTCTTAACAAGCCAAGCTTATGTTTCCCTGGTCCATATTTGCATCTTACTGTCTCTTGCTGCAGGTTCGATCTGCTACCCTTGACACATGGCTGCCTGAGCAGATTGCTTTTATTCAATGTAAGCTTTTATGTTTGGCCATGTATCTGTATTCTGATTTATATAGGTTTTATGTTAAGATGGAGTGGAGCCTACTAATATGACAATGGCTTTTCTTATTTATACAGCGATGGGAAATGAGAAGGCAAACAGTTACTGGGAAGCTGAATTGCCCCCTAATTACGACAGAGTTGGAATTGAGAACTTCATCCGTGCAAAGTAGACACTGTTTTTTCTTTTAGTATTTAGTTTTTGTAAAGAGCTTTTGTATTATTCAAATTTTGTTGTGTATTTTTGTAGATTCGATGAAAAGAGGCGGGTTCCTAAAAATCGGAGATCCAAATCACCATCTAGAATGTTGGATGAAAGGGCTCCTTCATATGGCCAGGGACCAACAGAAAAAAGTGGCCATGGACATCTTAAAAATTCTGATAATTCATTTGAGGAAAGGACCATTCAAGCATCTAGCAGAAACAAAAATCTTCCTGCAACAAAAATTAGTCTTCCTGTTCCTCCTAAGGGATCGAATCCGGTATTAAGTTCTTTTGCTGGTTATGTGCTCATTTCTAACACTTCTAGAAAACCATAGTTATGTTTCTTCATCTATTTTATGCAAATAGCTTAGTAGGGTTAGAGTGAAAAGATCTGAGAAAAAAACGGCGGACAAAAATATTGCAAACAAATTGTCTGAATTAGAACTGTGGTCTTGAAATTGCTTTCTTGCTTCTCCTTATGTTGTATTTCTTCTAGTAATTTACCTTAATAATCTAAAAAAAATACTTTCATAATGTTGTGCTGATCTAACAGGTTACACCTGTCCGAGAGCCTGAAATTGTTGTTGTGGCACCAGCTGAGGCAACAACTACTCCTCCCACTGTAACGCCCCCTAAATTTGAATTTGCTACTGACCTTTTCAATATGATGTCCATTGATGATGCTCCAAGTGAAAATGCTTCTGGTTCTGGAGCAGCTTCTACTGATGATAGTGATTGGGCATGTTTCCAGTGTATGCCCTAAAATTTCCCCATAATTTTTGTTATTGGCATCACCTTACATTTTTGTTTATTATCTTGTTAACATGCTTTCTGCCAAGTGACAACCACCTGGATATTGAAAATGATGGTGGTAGTAATTTATTATTCCTGTTAATTTTGTGACGTGATAACTTCTAGCCTCTGTGGACACTTCTGCAACCAACAAAAATGATCCACCAAAAGCTGTTGAGAAGAATGGCCAGTTTGCTACTGGAGTTGAGAATTTATTTAATGATTCACCTCCAATAACAACCAACCAAGTCCAAGAGAAGCCACAAAAAGATGTAAAAAATGATATTATGAGCCTTTTTGAAAAGGTATATCTTCATCATTTGCTTGTTGGAGCTAATTAAGATTATTCCTTAACATTTCTCGTATGTTATTTGTTTAAACATTTTTAAAAAAAAACTTCTTTAGTGGGGTCTTATGTTGTTTGTTTCACGGTTTCAATCGATTCCAGTCCAAAACAGTACAGCCGTATGCAATGCATCACCATCAACAACAACAACTAGCATTGCTATCACATCAACAGTCTCTTCTGATGGCTGCTGCAGCTAAATCTGCTCCCGGAAACACTCAACAGTCACCATCCAATGACGCAATCATACCCACTCAACAACTAGCTTTGCTAGCACAGAAAAACTCCCTTCACATGGCTGTTGCAGCTAAAGCCGCTCCTGGAAATACTCAACAGCCTTCGTCTACCACCACAAGCATACCCACTCAACAACAACTAGCCTTGTTAGCACATCAGCAATCCCTTCTCATGGCTGCTGCAGCTAGAGCTGCTCCTGGAGATACGCAACAGCCTCCATCCACCAGTACAAGCATTTCCACTCCAGCTTGGCCAAATATTGGCTATCAAATGCCTTGAGTTATGATGCCAGTTGGTGCACAGGCTGATTTGCAGAAACTTATGCAGGTGGACTCCATAGTATAGTTGCAAAAGTTTCTTTAAAGAAATATAGCTAGCAAGTTCATCATTTTTTTAATTGCTTTAGACAATGCAGATGGGACAGACACAAGTGGGAAACAATGTTGTATCATCCAGGTACATATTTAATCTCTTTATTCTCGATTTTGTGTTTACATTGCAATGAGTTTGGGGTTTGTTATGCAATACTCTTAATATCCATATGGTTTTAAAGGCAGCACTAAGTTTCTAATTGTATTCCTAGAACCGAACGGCATGAATGTGCTGCACACATAAGTTGTTCCATGATCCTAACTTTTGGCAATTCTTCTCTTGCAGCTTTTATGCATTGGGGCAAAGTTTACCCCAACAAGTGGTACTACAACTAATGGAGCAAGCAAGCCTCAATCGGCTTCCCCAGTTTCATCGATGAACTCTCCACAAACAGGAAAGGATTATGAGTTTTCATCATTGACACAAGGTTTGTTCACAAAACGCTGAGTTGAGACTTGAGACAACCAGGTGATGATTGTTTGCTTCCGTCATACAAAACCTAAAAAAAGAAGTTATTTTACTGAAAAATACCTCTTCCCGGGGGAGGGGGATTTGTAAACTCTCTGTAGATACAGCAATTTCAGTT